GGGGAGGTGGGGAGGCGGGGGTCCACGCCCGTGATGGAGGGCAGGGGGTGACTGGAGGTGGGACCCGCCCTACGGAGACACAGAGCTGGGCAGTGTTGGCAGGTGGGCCCCAGCCGGGTCGCCCCCAGGCATGGCTCAAGGCCGGGGTATCAGTGCCCGGTCCTCTGCTGTTTCCCTCGCACCTGTGACCCCTTCCAGAATTTCCGTCCTTGGTCACTGTGTTCTGGATCCACTAATCCCGGAGGGGCCGCGGAGGAACTCTGGGAGGAAGATGCCATGACCTGCAGGTCTGTTGCTCACAGAAATCCTACCCCGGAACGCTGACTCTGGGAGCTCCTGGCCCGGCCCCACGTGCTCGGGTGGATGGATGTTTGTCCTCTGCTGCAGCTGTGGCCACAGCTGTCGGCTCCAGCCCAGCCCCGTCCCCTGCAGGCCAGCCCCCAGCTCACGTGTGACCCCAGGTCCTTCGCCTCTCTGGGCCTCAGTTTCAGCCTCTGTGCGATGGGTTGTTTGGTAAGCTGTGATGCCCCTTCCAGTCCCATCCTTCTAGAGCTCCAGGTGTTTAGGGAGGGACCCCGAGGCTGGAAGTGGGGGTCCCCCTCCCCACGGGGCTATGACCTTCTCAGCACCTTGTTTACAGCTCCTGGGACGCAGAGTAGGGGGTGGGCTGTGAGCTCAGCCACCAGGGGTTGCGTCAGGAGCCCGGGGGTTGCACGTGGCTTGGGCGGCAGCTGGCGGGCTCTGAGAAAGCTATTCTCCAGGGGCAGCTGGAGTAGCCACCGAGAGGCCGGCTCTGCCCAGCGGGGGCGGTCAGGGCTGAGTGGCTGGCAGAGGGCAGAGGCCTTGACTGCCACAGAGCCCACCACCGTAGGGCCAGCTGGCGCGGGCGAGCAGGCAGCCCCCAGCATCAGGTGAGGGGTCCCTCCTCCCGGGAGGTGGCATCCACAGGCCTCCCTGGATGCAGAAGCGTGGAGTCAAGGGCCCCGACAGAGGTTAGCCAGGGAGGGGCTGAGCCGAGACCACGGCCCAGGCCCAGCTGCCGCCTGCGCTGCGAGCCCCACCTCCTGCCTCCCGTTTCACACGTGGACAACCTGAGGTCATGGAGGGTAGGGGAGCCATGTCACCCAGGGAGCTGGTGGCAGGGAGCAAGCAGATGTGAAGTGACATTTTGGGCACTTTGGGGCCAGACTGTGAGTCAGGAACCTCCCGTGTGACATTTGTTTTTGGCGGTGCCACGCCGCTTGCAGGATCTTAGTTCCCGGGTCAGGGATTGAACCAGGCCACCTAAGTGAAAGTGCCGAGTCCTAACCGCTGGACTGCCAGGGAAGTGCCCTATGTGATATTTAATTCAGCACTTACTGCAGCAAAGCCGCTTTAGGGACAGATGGGTCTCACCCCACCCTCTCTGGGCAGCGGGGCTGCGTCCCACATCTGTCCCCTTCCTCCCTCCCCTCCAAACCCGAGGGTCCCTGGGTGGCGGTGAAGGGGGGTTGCTGATGAATTGGTCACCGTTGTTGCCCGCAGAGGCCACGCTCAGGGAGCCCGGTCCACGCCAGCTCCACACCTCAGGGGAAGACGGCTCCATGAAATGCCCAGAGGGAGCCGGCGACCCGTCTGGCACACTGCAAGCACGACTGGATCTACTGGGCAAGTGCTGGGCACGCCCGACGTCTGTCTCTCAAAGTCTCAGGCAGGAGGGGCTGTCGGTTTCCCCCACGTTGCCCCACCTCTGAGGTTACCTGCAGCTGCGAGGGGGAGTTCTGGGCTTGCTGTCAGCATTACCTCCAGGGCCTGCGTCCCTCTGCCTTGGCCTGGGGGCTCCCTTTGGGCATAGCGGACACTAGCTCCGCCCCCTGGAACGAGGGAGGGTGGGGTCTGTGGACAACCACCCCGCTTTCCATTTTGCACAGCTCTTTGGAGAGTCTCAGCCGGGTCTGCCCCGTTGCCTGAGCCCACCAGCTCAACACCGCAGGCCTCAGTCGGCTTCTCTCCCTTCCCCACCCCTGCTGCTGTGCTAAGGGCTGGATTGTATCCCGCGGATTCATATGCTGAAGCCCTACCCGCAGCGTGATGGTAGGTAGAGCTGGGACCTTGGGGCTGAGCAGGGCTCGGTGAGGGTGGGGACTCCACAGTGGGATTGCCGGCCCTATGGGCAGCCCGCCGCCCCACGTGTGCACACAGAGAACAGCAGCCTCAGCAGCTGGGAAGCCGCTCCCGCCAGGAACCGAATGGATCCCCTTGATCTTGGACCCTAGATCCCTCTCAGATGCCCGGCCCTGGTCAAGTCTGAGGCTCTACTCTCAGCGCCCTGCTTGCAGCTCACCCTCTGCCCAAGGCCAGGCCCAGGCGCCCGCTGGCCACACTCAGCATCCCCAGTGCCCGGCCACGTCCTGGACTGCTGTTTCCACAGCCCCGGCCTCCTCACTCTCAGGGGGGACCAAGTGGCAGCTGGGCACGTGCTCGGGACGGCTGAAGACGGAGAGCAAGGACCACGCTGCGCGGGCCGTTGCAAGTGTGCAAAGCAGGGGGCCTGCCCGGTGGGAGCGAGAGCAGAGACCCCAGAGGGTGGACAGACTTCGGACGTTCGGGCTGTTCTCGATTGAGGGGTGGGGTGGCACGGGGCCTGCTCTGTGGGGACGCTGTGGCCCACTCTGGATGGGAGGGGAGGGATGGGGGCTGGCTGGTAGGCTGGCAGCCCCGCGGCGTGGGCTGAACCAGCCTCTGGGGCCGTGCCCTGACGTTTTCGGAAGATGCTGGCACCGGGATGGGCTGTAACCGTGGAGTCCAGCTCAGGGTGGACGGGATGGGGCGGGCGGACCGGCGGGCAGTGGGGACCACGGCTCGGTACGGGTTGGGAGGTGCCTTGCAGGGCTGCTTCTATGCCTGGCCCCCTCCTTCCCCAGCAGGGCCTGGGTACGGCCCAGGGGTGGGGACTGAGAAGGGTGCTCAGTTCACATCCTCTGAGCCCTGGGATTGCAAAACTGGGATGGTGAACCAGATCCCAGAGCCCTCATTAAAAAGCCGCCTGTGACAGTTTCTGGTTCTCTTCTGAGTGTGGGTGCTGAGTGCGTTTTGGTCCGATTTCCCTTCCCCCATCCAGCCAGCTGGCCACACTCAGCATCTCCAGCGCCCAGCGTGCCTGTCTCCACGCATCTCCTGTGAGCCCTTCTAGGTACTGAGCGTGATTCCGGCTGCTGCCATGGCCATCTGAGACCATCTACTGAAATTCGCCCCATGGCGGGTCATTTAAGTCTGGACCTACTGAACCCCAGGCTCTTGGAGCTTGGAAAAGCTTGCAGTCTGCAGTCTGAGGTCACTCCCCCGCCCCACCCCCGAGGCAGAAGGTGGCGGCGGTCACACAGAGGCCGGCTGGCGGCAGACCTTGCCGCACTGTGAGAACCAAGGGAACTTGATCCTTCCGGGCCGGGGGCCCAGAACACAGGGCTGGGCCCCTCCCTCTCAGCCCTGATGGGCGCCCCTCACCCTCACAACCCCACCTGTGACCCTGGGAGCTGGGCCTGGGCAAGTTCACAGCTCCCGCCATCCCTGGGCAGCCCCTGCGGTGTCCCTGAGCAGCGAGCTTTGTCCCTCCTGTTCTGTCTCATTCCCTGTTGCTGGGTGGTCTCTGCAGTGAGGATGACACAGCACAGATGCAGGGAAGCCTTTATCACACGGCCTGGCCGGGCACACACTGCACACACTCAGCGGACTCGCCGCTGCCAGCCAGGCGCCTCTCCAAGGGCTCTGCCCGACTGCCAGGAGGTCGGTGGTCTCAGGACCCTCCTGCCTGCGGGGAGAGGCCATGGCACGGGGAAGGGAGGGGTCTTGCCGGGGACCGGGGGGCTGGGAGTAAGTGGGGAGCCAGGGCTGAGTGGTGGGGCGGCTGGGGCGTGGCGATGCCTGGGCGTTCCAGGCGGTTAGCCCCGGGTCTCCGTGCCCACTGATGTGTCAGCTCTGGGTCAAGAGAAGCTGCACAGCGGCCGGTGGGCTGTCCCAGACGCCCCTGCTGGCACAGGACCGTGTGCTTGTAAACTTTAATTCCCATACAGTAGAGAAACATACAGTACAAGCAACATGGGGGACCGGGCTGCACAGTGAAGCTCACGGGGCCACCTGGAAACAGGCTCCCGGCAGAGAGGGGGGCACCTCGCCTGCTCCTGGGCGATGCCCTAAGTCCCGCTGCACGGAACAGCCAGGGGAGGTGCAGCCGGCTCAGCCCTCCCCTCCCCTCCCCCTGCAGGTCCCAGATTCCTCTGCCCTTGGCCCTCCACCCCAGGGGCGCCTCCCGGAGGACGGGCGGCCTTCCAGGGGGTCAGACACGCTCTGCTCCCTGCCAGCTTCTCTTGCGCCTGGGAAGGCGGACCTCATGGCCAAGCCCTGGGGCTTGGCTGGACGGCCAGGGGACATCCCGCGGTGCCAGCTCCGGGCCAGACCCGCCACACCTGACTCCTCAAGGGGAGCAGACTGGCCGGGCAGACAGCCCTGGTCATTCAACGTGGTGGGCGCTGTGCTACTGGGTGTGGGAGGCCAGGGAGGCGCACCTGGCAGAGGAGAAGGCTGGGGGGCTGAGACCTGAACAGGTGAGAGTCAGCGAGCGGAGCGGAGGGGCAGCGGGCATTCCAGAGAGAGGTACCCTAACAACAGGTGCAAAGGCAGGAAGGCGGGAGAGAGGATGGGACTTCCTCCGGGAAAACAGAAGACTTTTCTAGATCTGGGAACTTGGAAGGGCCCTCAGGAGCATCTGGGGGACGTCGGGCTGCCCCCAGGGCCACCGTGATGCTGGAGCCAATCCTCCCAGAAGGCTGAAATGCGGACCCCTGGCCAAGCCTGGCCTGTGGCTCTGGCCCTGGACGGCCGGGATGAGGCCTCTGGCTCTGCTGAGGACCGACCTCGGTCCTTTGTCCTGACCCCAAGGGAGGCAGCGGTTCCGGGCGGAGCCCGTCTGCTGGCCCCTGTCCCAGCTGCAGGCTCCGTTGGCATGGAGGGAGGGGGCCCCACCCTCACAGGACGACCTCGGGCACAATGCTGAAAAGCAGGTCGTCGTTCCCCCGCCGCACCTGCAGCAGCAGGGGGGACTCGGTCAGGACGGCTTCCTGCAGCTCGCTCGAGTCGGCCAGAGGGCGCCCATTGACCTTGACGATGATGTCGCCATCTTGGATGCCCCCTCTGCCAACAGGAGAGACACACGGTCACAGCACCGCCCCGAGAGGCCCGGGCCCGGGTCTGGGCACAGTGGGCTTTAACAGCAGCACATTAGGAAAATTCATTTCAGCAGGGAAGGACAGGGCCCTGACCGCAAGGCTGTCGCACCAGACGGAAAGCACTATCCTGCAACGGACTAGCGCTTTCTCGGTCGACTTCTATGCATCAGAAGGGCTGGGGTCACGTTCTGGCTGCAGCCTCCCTAGCTGGGCTGCCTTGGGCCAGGTGCTCTGCCCCTTCGAGCCTTGGTTTCCACATCTACAGCCCTATGTGGGAACATGCTTTGTAAATTACGAGGTCCAGGGGGTTGATTCTAAGGTAACACTTTCCCATCAGAGACAGAACGAGCTGGGCTGGCCCCCACTTTCTGCACCTGACTCGCTGAGTCCCCCTCCACCCAGAGGGCGGGCAGGGTATCACCGTAGTTAGATGCATGGGTGATAGCGCCCAGATCCACACGTGTGGGCCGTGTGACCTCGGAGGAGTGACTTTGCCAAGCCTTAGCCTTCCCATCTGAGCAATGGGGCGAGAGCAGCAGCCTGCGTGTCCCAGGCTGCAGTGAGGATTAACTGAGATGATGCATGTGGAACGCACAGCTCACATGCAGCCTTGGTCAGCGGCAGCCACCATCGCCACCGAGCTCCCCTGTCTGGCTCTTGGGGTGCCCTGCGTGTGGCCGCTCTCGGTGACTGCTGTCTGCTGAATCACTGGGGTGCAGCAACTCGGAATAAAGAGCTTGAGTTGCGGTGGTTATTCTTTGGCTTTCATGATTCGTGGATCGGTATTGCAACAATTTTTACTGCAGATCGGCTGCGGGCTGAGCATGTGTGCTGTGTTCACGGCGGAAGGACACAAGGGGTCCGCGTCTTCCAGCCCAGCACACAAAACAGAAAGGAGGGGTCCTGTTGGGTTGGAGGGGCCACGGGGACTGGGGGGCCCACTTGCCCGCCTCCACTCTGCACTCTGCCCTCACCCCTTCCAGCAGCCCAAGATCTCAGCGTGGACCATCTCCAGCTCCCGGGGTTACAGTTAAAAGCAGGATCTGATGCAGCCCGCCCACTGCACAGACGGAGCCCTGAGGCAGAGGAGGGGCAGGCGCTTGCTCAGGGCTGGTCTAGGGCACAGGATCAGCCGTGCAAGTGCGTCAGACCCCACCCACCGCACTGCCTGCCTCAGCTCACAGTGCTGCAACATTTGACCTTTCTCTAGTAGTTGGTGGTTTCCAAGAAAACGAGGCTTTATCTCATTTGATCTTGACAGTGTCTCATGGGACAGGAAGAGTAGGCTGAATCATGCCCATTTTGTAGATGAGAACACTGGCCCCGAAAGCCCCAGGCTGGCCCACTGGGCTGGCGAGTGCCAGGCTGACGCAGAGTTCTCAGCTCGGGGTGACCTCTGCTACTCTGTCTCCCCAGACCCAAGGAAAGGACATTCTGGGCCAAGGAAGGGCACGGCCTTCACCTCTCCAGCCTGCCTCTGGCTCAGAGGACTGGCCAGAGTCCCACCTGCCACTCCACATTGCGTCATGCTGCCAGGAAGCTAAAGGTCACGCACATCAGTGAAGCCCAGCCCAGGCCCTGCACCCACCTGCCCAGTCTCCCTGCTTCCTCTGGTGAAGCCTACCTCTGAGAAGGTGAATTTGGGACAACCTCTTGCACGTAAATTCCACTGCTGACCGCCGGGAAGTCTGGGTTGCTGGCCTTTAGTTCCTCCACCAAACTGAAAAGGCAGTTCCACGGTTAAGACACTTCTGAGCCTCTAAACTGACTCCTCCTTCTCTCCACCACCCAGGCCAGACCAGGCGTCTCCTCTGGGCTCCCACATTGCCCTGTCCTGCCACTGACCACTCTGGGTTGTCACTGATTCTTGCCTGTGTCCCCTACTCAACGTGGGCTCCTCAAGAGAAAGCTTGGTGAAGGTGGATGGTTAGAAGTGTAAAGAGGGGAGGGTGATGGACAGACAGATGGGAGGATGGGGGGAGGAGGGATGAGGACGGAAGGGAAGGTAAAGGAGGATGAACAGACAATGGGCGAATGATGCCGTGGAGAGACAGACGACTGGACGGATGGTGTGACGGATGAGTGGATGGATGATAGGGAGACAGAAAGAACACCTTTAGAAGACAAATTGGCATATTGGTCTTGATTCCGAATTGCTTTCAGACTTATTCCCTAGGTGAACAGTTGCTGAAACAGAAAGAAGGTCATTTGAGGGACTGAGTGGGTGGGAGGGTGAGTCAGGTGAGCTTATCTCTTCCCAGAGCTCCCCAGTGCAGAGACCTCTTCCTCCAAACCTTGGACCTGACGTTGCCTTTTCCTCCCTTCAGCTTCCTTTCCTTCCTTTCTCTCCCTCCTTTTCCCCACCCCCTTCTCTATTTCACTCACTTAGTATTTCCAGGCACCCACTCTTCTATAGACCGGGTCCTGGGAGGGGTGGGGGGAGCAGACAGATGAGCAGGACCCAGTCCCTGCTCCCAAGGAGCTCATGGTCAGGGTTGAGGATGGGAGATTCTGACACCACGGGACCAAGGCGATGCTGGCGAGGGAAGCACAGCTTTGCAAGAGAAGGGGAGGCACCTCCTCCCACTCGAGTAGCCTGGGGAGGTAGAATAGTGTCCCCTCCACCCCCCAAATTGATGCCCACCTAGGGCCTCAGAACGTGACCTTGTTTGGAAATAGGGTCTTTGCAGACGTGGCTGGTTAAGAATCTCTAGACGAGATCAGCCTGACTTAGGGTGGGCCCTTAATCCAATGGCTGATGTTTTAATAAGAGAAATAAGAGGGAGACTGGACACAGACACACAGGAAGAGGACGCCATGCGATGAGAATGGCAGAGCTTGCAGTGATGCAACCACAATCCAAGAAACACCTGGAACCACCAGAAGCTGGGAGGTACAAGGGAGGACCCTCCCCTGGAGCGTCTGGGGGGAGTGCAGCCCCGCTGACACCTTGATTTTGGACTGTGGGCTTCCAGAACTGTGAGAGAATGACTTTCTATTGTTTTAAGCCACCGAGTTTGTGGTAATTTGTTATGGAAGCCACAGGAAGCTAATCTGGGAGGCTTCCTGGAGGAGGGGCACCTGAATGGAGTCCTACGGAAGCCAAAGGAACCTATCAGGCAAAGGGGGAAAGGCATTCCAGGCAGAGGGACCGGCCTGAGCGAGGGCTCAGAAGCCTGAGTGTGTCTGGCCTGCTGGAGCACCTGCGGGTGGCCAGGGTCTGGAAGGAAGCTCGAGGTGAGGGATGAGAACGGAGGGGTGGCAGGGGGCAGCGTCCTTCAGCACTCACCTTGGTGTGATGGTCCGCATCCGTATGCCAATGAAGCGTTTCTTCCAGTCTAGAAACCGAGCATGTCGGGACTTGGTTAGAGCCTCCGTGGAAGCCTCTGTCCCCGCCAAGGAGCCAGGCAGGGGCAGAAGTCCCCCAGCCCCTACACCAGTAGTAGAAGGCAGCAGGAGCCACCTTGCTTGGACCAGCCCAGCCCCCTTGTGGTCAGGCACCTAGAGTTACCTCTCTCCACTTGGCTGTTCTTGAGGAGCTGGGAGACGTCCTGGCTCTAATCTTGTGGCTTCGTGCCCACCCTCACCCTCTCAGGCACCATCCAACCACCTCAGCTCTGAAATCTGCTCTCCTGCTAAGCCCCACATCCAAACCCCAGCGGACAGTGGGGCTCTTCTCTCCAGCCTCCATCCCACAGGGTCCCCAAACTCACCTTACTCTGGTCTGAACTAGTCACCTTCCCCAGCCTTCTCCATAAATAATATATTAACTGATAATACCCAGTGAGCTCTAACCATGCGGCAGGCCCTCTGGTTGCAGCACTATACACATAATAGGCTAAGATGGTACCTCTATGCCCCCAGCTGCCCCAGCCTGTGACTTAGACCCAGAAATAGAATTTACATATTTTAAACCATAAACAAGTTTCAGTACAGTTTTAAAATGTCATATAAAAATATGCTCTCTGGCCACAATGTAATTAAACTAGAAATCACTAATAGAAAGGTATCTACAAGATTCCCAATAACTTAGAAACCAAATATATATTTCTAAATAACCCATCTTTGTTTTTTTTTTGTTTTTGTTTTTTTCTGTACGCGGGCCTCTCACCGTTGTGGCCTCTCCCGTCGCGGAGCACAGGCTCCGGACGCGCAGGCTCAGCGGCCATGGCTCACGGGCCCAGCCGCTCCGCGGCATGTGGGATATTCCCGGACCGGGGAACGAATCCGTGTCCCCTGCATCGGCAGGCGGACTCTCAACCACTGTGCCACCAGGAAAGCCCCTTTGGCACTATTTTTAAAAATTAATTCAAAGCACATAATAGTCCTAAGTCTAAAACCTCACAAAGTAAAACTTTTGGAAGAAAATGTAAGAGAAAACCTTCCTGGACCTTTGGTTAGCAAAGATTTCTTTGATATAACACTAGACTCACAATCCATTTACAAAAATTGGTAAATTAGACTTCATCAAAATTTACAAAACTTCTGCTCTTAAGAGCATGAAAAGACAAGCCACCAGGAGAAAATATTTGCAATTCATTTATCTGACAAAGGGATCCTACCCAGAATGTATAAAGAATTCTCAAAACTTAAGAACACGAACAACTCCAATTCTAAAAATGGGCAAATTATGTAAACAGACATTTCACCAAGGAAGACTGATGGATGTTCCAGATGGTGGAACCCTGGAACATGGGAGATGTTGGGAGATGTGGGAGATGAGGTCAGAGCACATGGGAGCCCTGACCCCATAGATCTGCTGGGCTTTGGGTTTTGGGTTTTACTCCCAGTGAGGTGGAGCCTGGGGAGGGTTTGCACAGGTACACACCACGGTCTGCCTTAAATTTTGCAAGAAGCTCCTCTGGTAGCGAGAAGAGTCTGTGGGGGGCAAGGGCATGGACAGAGGAGCAGAGAGGAGGTGACTGTCCCTGGTGGCTGGCTTGGGGGGAGGAGCTGGAGATGGCAAGAGGGTAGTAGGGGACGGACAGATCCCCAAGGTAGGGCCAGTGGGGCTGGCTGATGGATTGGATGCAGGTGGAAAATCTGGAAGGATGGAGCTGCCGTAACTGAGAAGGGGAATGGTGATGGGGACACACAGATTGTGTGTGGGGGGGGGATGACAAGCAGTTGTGCATCCGAGTCTAGGGTTTGGGGAGAGGGTCAGGCTGGAGATGTAAATTTGGGGGAGTCACTCTCTAGACGGCACTTAAATCCACAGGACTGGATGAGGTCCTCAGAGGAAAGGGGTGGGGCCCGGGCACTGAGGCCTCAGCCCTCCAACCTGCTCCTGGTATGAGTACTGGCCACTGGTCAGCTTCGCTCACAGCCCCAAGGTCATGCTTACCGAAAAGGAAGAAACCCGCGGCTTCGAGAAGCGTAGCCCAGGGTCACCTGAGGCCAGTGGCTGTCCTGTTAGATCTCCTGGGGCAGGAGACTCCTCACCCTCCACCGACCGCAGAGCAGCGGGCCACGCCCACTCGTGGACTCTCCAGAAACAATCATAACTGCAACCCTTCGTCTTCCCGTCCTTACTGGAAAATCACCTAAGTGATGCATGTCCGATGCTGCAAACAAGGCTTGGAGGGAGGCTGGGTGCCCTGTTTCTTTCTAAACATGTCACGGAACCACGCTGATCCAAAGTGAGGCAAGTATATCAAAGATGGTAACAAAACAACAGTGCGGGCGGGGAGGGGAAGTGATTGCCTGAAGGGGGCGGATGCTCTCTGGGGAAGGAGAAATGCACCCAAGGGTACATTTTCACATGGTCAACTGTACGTCACACGAACCGACTCTCACTTCAACAAACAAACAGACACGAGAGCGATGCTCACACCTGGGCTTCTCGGCATTAAGACTAATCTCTGGTTTGCCCCAGGGCCCCCAGCCCAGGAAATGCCCCTCACTCAACCCACCGTCCAGCGGGTCCTATTGGCTCCAAGTTCAAAATAGACCCCGAACCCAACCAGCCCTCACCCCACAGCTGCCACCCCCGAGCCTGGCCATCAGAAAGGCTGCTGTGGGCCCCTAATTGGTCTCCGGCATCGACTCTTGTCTCCCCAAAATGGACTCTGTAGATTAATGTTGTATCCTGCAACTTAGCTGAGTTTTCTGACGGGTTCTATTGGTTTTTGGGTGTCGCCCTTCAGCATTTTCTATATAGAGTATCATGTCATCTACAGAGTGACAGTTTTCCTTTTTCCTCTGCCATTAGATTCCTCCTTTCTTTTTTTTTTTTTTTTTTTTTTTTTTTTTTTTTTTTTTTTTTTGGTTTTTTCATTTAATTATTATGGCTAGGACTTCCTAGACCACGTTGAACGACAGTGGCGAGTGTGGTCAGGGTTAGACTTATGTGTAAAGCATAACTGGCTCTCTTCCCTTTCCTCCCTCTCCAACTCTCTGAGGCTTCCGGGAAGGACAGGACTAGACCAGGGTCACACATGACTCAGGGAGTCGAGCTGAACCATTGCTTTTCTGCCCCTCAGTCCTGGGCGTAAGTTTGCATACTATCTGCATACCTTCTGGGCGGACACCTAGGATGGCCCAGCCCACTAACTCAATCACCCGCTGTGGGTACACGTTAGTCCTAAGGCTGGCTGAACCCCCAGACACTCCTGGGGCCACTCTTACCTTGAAAGTCCCCCAGAGGCCTCTGCCCCCCAACCCCTAGATGGAAACGAGAAGTGCACCTTAACTAACATCCCCTCACTATAATAAAAAGATGGTCAGTCTTAAAGAAATTTAGATTAACTGGGTTTGGATGATTTGGTATTTTTATTAAAAAAAAAAAAACCTAAAAGTGAACATCAGTCAATTTCAGAAGGCTTTAAAATTATAAATTCAGTCAGTCAGCTAAAACTTGTTGGGCTCTTTCATTAGTCCACATGTCCTCAGGGAGGTGACATCTCTGGGGACAGGGGATGAGTGTTCCCTGGGGCCTGGGGTGAGGTCAGTGCTGATGGGGACAGTCCCCGTACAACAAAGGGTGGGGACAGTCCCTGTACAACAACAGAGGAAGAGAGAAAAAAGAAAAGGATGTTATCACCCCATTTCCAACAAATCAGTCACCTCACAGCTCAATCTGTGCCAAGTACAGCCCCACTGATTTCCAGGAAGGTGGCCAAAGTCAAAGGCACCCCTGGAGCAGAGGAAAATTAAACTGGAAAACTTGGTTATTAGAGAAAAAACCAAGTGTGGTACAAAGGTGCAGCCCTGGATCAAGTTCAGAGCTTCCTAGCAGCCAAGGAGAAAAGGGCCCAAGAGGTGAGATGATCCCCTGGCCAACAGAAGCCTTCAGCTTCTTTAAGGAAGACCGGCTGTGCCCTGGCTTCAGGCTGTCTTCACATAAGGGACACGGATGAACACGGGGTCCTCAACTGCGGTTCTTCATGGGACCAGTCCTCTTAGCCCTGGTCTGGGCTGTACTGGAGTCTGTATACTTGGCTGGTGGGGGCGTGCAGGATGGGGCAAGCATGAAGAAATCCCCCTGCCCTCAGTGGACTCCTGGCGAAGGGGCTGGGAGGAGACAGGGGGCAACGTGAAGGTGTGAGCAGTAGGGCTGAGTCGGGTCTGGGCGCTGTGGCCACGAGGGGTCACGGGAGACCAACTGGGCGGAAAGAGAAGTTGCTCAGGTGAAGAGAATGGTGGGAAGATGGAGGCCGCCAGGAAAGGTCCTGAGATCAGAAACGCGGCCCTCCTCTGGAGAGTGGCCGTGACCACCGACTCTGGGAAAGCAGCTGGCCTGTCCTTACTAGGGACAGGGGACAGTCACCTGGCCTTGTCAAGCATCTCCCAGATGGATGCTCGTGGCCATCTGGGAGCAGGCAGGGTGGGCTGGACATGCCTGTGTGGATGGGGGTAGGAGATGGAGGATGAGGAGAGGGTAATGTCCAAGGATCAGGACCTCGGGCTCTGCTCCCCCGGAGTAGAGGCTACGCTGCCCAGCAGTCTGCATGGCCAGAGGGCTGAAAGAGGGAGGACTCGTGGACGGGCAGGTGGATGGGTGGAAGGAAGGAAGGGTGAATAGGCGGATGGATGAACAGAAGGGAGGAGGGATGGAAGGAAAGAAAGAAGGAAAAGGAAGGAAGAAAGGAAGGATAGATGGATGAATGGATGTATGAGTGGGTGAAGGGATGGGTGTGTTGGCGGGTGAAGGGCTGGGTGTGTTGGTGGGTGAAGGGATGGGTGGGTGGATGGGTGGGTGGGTGGGTGAGTGGATGGAAGGAAGGAAGCACTGGGTTCTGACAACTATGGAGCAGCCCAGAGAAGCGAAGCCCAGGGGCCAGACCCCTGGAGGTGGGAGGTGAGGTTGATGATCCCCAGCCAGAGGGGCCAGTCTGGAGGGGTAGGGGTGAACGTGGCCATGAAGTGGAAGACCTGGAAGAGGCTGAGGTGTCCCCGGGCGAGGGTCTCGGGACATCAGGACGGGGTCAGGAGTGAGCGTGGGCACGCAGCACCGCAGGACCTCCTGGCCCGGCTGGAGGCTGTGGGCTCAGCCCTGGGACGGCCTCCCCGCCTCCACGTGGGAGCTCCGTACCTTTACCGTGCTTGCCCTGGAACTCCGTGAGGAACTGCGCGATGCGGTCTGAGGGGATGGCGAAGGAGATGCCGGCCGCAACCTTGAGCGTGTTGATGCCAATGACCTCGCCATCCTGGGCAGGTGATCAGAGCGGGTGGTCACTTGGGGAGCCCAAGCGACCTCTGCCCTCAGCGGCAGAGCAGCGTGTCCGCGGCTCGGCTCCCAGAGGGGACCCTGGCCATCAGCACCCTCCCTGAGAAGCTCTGGAAAGGTGCTCTGGGGTTCACACCTGGGTCAGGGACCCCCCACCTCTCCCGCCATTTGCCTCCAAAGCTGACCCCGCCCCCATCGCTGGAGAGTGTCGGCCGGGGAAGCTTGCAGTCTGCCCCTGCAAAGCAGAGCCCACTGACCGAGGACACCCCCAGGCAGCATTCCGAGGGGCTTGGGCCAAGAGGGATGTGATGAGGACTGTGGGACCCCCCCCCAGCCCCGCCTTCTAGAAGCAGGGTGGGGCAAGTGGGCCCAGGGCCACCCCCAACATCCCCCCTCCTTTCTGTCCCTTTGGAGCTGGGCTCCCACCCTGCCCTGCCCTGCCCGCCACAAGGCTGGTGCAGCTTGGCCGGATCTGCAGCCTGAGGCCTCTCTCCTGGACCTAGCCCCTCCCTCAGCCCGGCAGGCACCCCTGCCCTGGCTCTCCCGTTCACCTCAGGGGTGACACCTGCACACGACACCCAGGCCAGGGCCTGGCCTGGTCACCAGGGGTCCCCGCTGGGGCCTGACGCAGAGCTTTGGACAAAGGCATATTTCACCTGCCTGGTCCCCCAAGTGCCCATCCCCACCTGTTCCCTGGGAGCCGTGAGGTGGGAGAACCAGGCCAGGAGAGGATCCAGGGACGGAGAGTCTCTCATCGGCCCTGTATGCCCATCCCCCTCCGCCTGGACCACAGGGCGTGGCCCCCTGACCTCCGGCCTAAGGTCCTCCCACACGAGCTTTCTTGAACACCAGCGCTGTGGCCTCAGCACTGCTGGAAGAGCCTAGGGCTTGTCAGGGCGTGGGGAGACGCACCCTCCGCGTCAGGACGTGGTGCACCAGCCTCCTTGCACTGTTTCCCACCTGTTGCTCCAGCAGTGACACCTGCCAGTACGCCTCCACCCCGTGCCCGTGCTCTGCCCTCTCCCTGGAATATCTTTCTCCTGCACGTCCCCATCCACCCAAACCCTCCATCTCCACAGCCCAGATGAGATGCTCCTGCCTCTAGGAAGCCCTCCCTGATCCCATGTCAGCTGCCAGGTCCCCCGGCCCGGTGTCCCTCTGAAGCCCTCCCTGCTCCTCACAATGTGCTTGGGTGTGTCCCTGCCTGACCCCCTCCTTGGATGGGACCCCCTCCCGAGTACTGCCTGGATGGCAAGGCTAAGGCGTTCCCCTGAGATCTGGCACTAGGGGAACAGGCATCTGTGTCTTAGAGAGGGCTGGACCTCAGCTGGCCTGGTCTATCCTTACACGGGCCAGACGCAGGGACCAAACCCAGGGAGCCTGGGTGCCGAGGTGCGTGGCACGCCCATCTCGTCTCCTGTCAACAGGGGGACCCAGAGGGGGTGACTCGTCCCCAGCCTGTGTCCCCTGCCCCAGGTCTACCACAGGCACACAGCTCTGGCCTGGGCTGCTGTTCTGGGGGCATCCCTCACTCCTCTGACAGCACCAGCTCCCCTGGGGGCACGGGGCAGCACACGCTCGGGGTCATATCCTCCTCCTGGGCCTCCAGGCTGTTGGCTGTGTTCTGGGTCCCACGCCTGCCTCGAGGCTGTGCCCCACCCACCATGTGAGCAGAGTCCCCGAAAACTCAAGGCCCCTGCTCTAGGGGACACTTACCAGGTTCACCAGCGGTCCCCCGGAGTTCCCGTACTGCAGGGGGAAGAAATTCGACATTAGCTGTGCCCTGAGCCCCCCAACCCCGAAGGTTCCTGAAGCTTTTTCTTCAAACTACCGTGTTCCAGCCAGCACAGAAACATGTAATTAAATGTCAACCCCGGACAACGTCGAAAGGCCTCATCACTCTCCCATTTCATAGATAAGAAAACTGAGGCCCACAGAGGCCAGGTGCACGGCCGTCTGATCATCAGGGTCTGACCTGCCCAGTGCTGTCTGCAGAGACCTCAGGGGTTCCCTCCAGCCTCACATCCACAGTGGGGGCAGCAGCAGGCGGATGCGGGATGGGGCACCATTTCTCATCCCACCAGCCTCGAGGAGTCTCTCAAAGACTAACGCTTCCAGAAGAGGGTCTGAACCACGGCAAAGCCAGAGAGGCAGGCGCCGGGCGTCAAAGTGCTTTGTGAATGCAAAAGGTGCCATCCAACGTAATAGTGATAGTAATAATCAATGTTGACCGGGGTGTGTATTTGGGCAAAGATATTCCAGGGGCCTTGGCTATGTCTCTACATCCCTGAAGGGCTGTCTCAGGTCAGGGCAGCAGCCTCTGACTCCCAGGGCCAGCCTGGCACCCATGGGTAGAAGTCACAGGGAGTCAGAGCTCCACTTAATCTACAGAAAGAACTTTCTAGCCAGTGGATGCATCCAGTGATGGAGAGGGCTCTGGGGACAGAGCCCCGCGGCTACGGTGGACGCTCACGTTGATGATGGCGTCCGTCTGGATGTAGTCCATGTCTGAGTCCCGGAGGCCCAGCTCCCGGCCGTCCCGCTGGGCTGTGCTGACGATGCCCGTGGTCACGGTGTTCTGTAGGGCGAATGGGCTACCAATGGCCACCACAAACTCGCCGGGCCGCAGGTCTGCCGAGCGGCCCAGCAACAGCGCCGGGAGCTTTTTCTAGGGGGAGGTGGGGAAGACACGGGGAGGGGGGCTCAGCTGTCGGCCTCTGGTGGGACCAGAGCCAGATCACGTCCAGGCCCCCGGCAGGGTGGTCCCTGGAGCAGCTGGACAGAGCTGTCAGGGCTGCAGACCAAGCCAAGTCTGGCTGCCCCGTGGTGGCCACGAGACCCAGGGCTGGCGTTCACAGAGCAGAGGCTCAGCCCCCCAGTGACCACAGGTCTCCCTAGGGCAGGCCTCAGGGGTCCGTCATAGGGAGACTGCAGAGAGGGTCGAGCCGGGCACGGCCTCCGAGGTCACTGAGCCCAGTGGTTCAACGGTCCCAGATCCCTCTGAAAATCCGACAAAAGCCATGGGCAGCAGCACCCGGCAAATGCACACACTGATGTGTGGAACGGGGTCTGCAGGAGCCCTGGAGCCCAGTGGGGACCCGCAACACTGGTTTTGCAATCCAATGCAGCTCAACCTGATCTCCCAATACAGACACACAGGGAAGCTGAGGCCAGACAGATAAAGCGACTTAACCGCGCTCTGCATCCCCGTCCCGCCCCTGCACACCGAGGACACCCGCACTCTCCCCTCCGGTTTTCTCCTGGAGCCAGCGGGGCCTGTCTGTCTGTCTGTCTGACTCCACAGCTGGACTGGGAGCTCTGAGAGGGGCCCTGCTTTATTCGTCTCCATGTTCTGGAAGCTGCAGGGGGCAAGCTCGGAGGAGGAGGTGCCCGTGAACTTGCGGGGTTTCCTGGCTTTGGTGGTGCGCCCCTCACGCCAGACATCGTCCCGGGGGGAGGGGCGGCACATGGGGCCCCTCAGCATCACTTCTGCAGCTTCCTGTGGGTCTGTTCTTGTTTCCAGATAAAAGTTTTCTCTACAAGGTGCCGGAGTTTCCCCGCCAATGGCGTGTCAGTGACAAAGGCGACTACAGGAAGCAAACTTCCAGGTGAACTAAATAACATGAAATCCATGTGCCGATTGTGGAGAGGAGTAAAGCTTCTAAACTACACAATGGAAAAAGGAAGCAAAGCCCCGGAGATGGCTGCGCTCAGATCACAGGGGCCTCAGCTAACTCTGGAAGTCGGGGGGCAGGACCCCGCACTGTGGACCCTCAGCACTGTGGGTTCCATCTGGCCTCTGCTCTCTGCTCCCATGTCAGGAGTTTCCCCTTTTTATGCAGTGCCACCACGTCAAGTAAGAATTTTTCCCTGTTTTTCATAGCAGCTCTCGATAAAGGTGGAAAGGTAAACGCCTGTAAACGGAGTGAGGGGACCTCCGGGCGGGTTAAGGAGACACCAAGCGGCTGTGCCCACCTGGGAGACATGGGGTCTCGACGCCACCTTCTGTGCTGCTGGACGGCAAAGCCTCAGTAAGTGGCACAAAGGGTCCCAGGTGGAGGGACCGGGCGCTGCAATCGGGGTGAGGACCCAGAGGGACAACGCGGGTCAGCAGCTTTCCCCAAAGCCTGGTTTGATGCCACGTGCAGGGCTCAGAGGCTAAGAGGCAGACCTGCTGTCATGAGAACCGCTGCAGGCGCTGGGCATCTCTGGGCACCAGGGCACCTGGGTCTTACTGACTCTGCTGGCATCTTTGGCCCCAGATGGCCGCCAGGGTGTGCCCCTTTCCCCCCTGGGATTCCAGTGCCTGGAAGGGGAGAGACCCAGAGACAGTCAGACCTGGGGTCTAATCCAGCTCTGCCTCTCCCCACAGGGGTCCTTGGGCAGGGGTTGCAAACTGTGGCCCTTGGGCAAATCCAGCCCAATCCAGCAGCCTCTTCTGTAAATAATCTTTTCTTGGACCACAGCCCAGCCATCTGGCCTGTGGCTATTTTCCCAGTCCAGTGCAGAGCAGTTGCTACAGAGACCACAGGGCCCACGAAGACTAAATCATTTCCTACCTGGCGCTTCACAGAAAAAGTGTGCCAGCCTCTGTCCTTGAGTACATCCCTCCTCCCCCAGCCCCAGTTTTCTTGTCTTTAAAATGGACGTGGTGTTCCCAGACTCAATGACTACTGGGAAAGGGCTCCAAAGTGGGCAAGGGTCTCCGTTAGGATAGCGGCGTGGAGCCACTAAACCTCCTCTTCCGTGATCGGGCAAGAGGACACCTCCTTGCAAAAGACCGATCACCTCAAGTGCTGGCAGCTTTATTCAGAAAGAGCAGAAGCCAGGTTCAGACTCAGCCAAGCTGGACTCGCCAGCCCAGATGGGCCCGCCCCTCAGGGACCTCACGGCATAGGCAGGGCACAGGTCACCGTCGGTGAGCCCGCAGTGGCCCACAGAGTCGTGACCACAGCGCTGGACGACAAGAGACTCGCTGGAGGGAGTCTAGGACTTGGCCGAGTGGGCCCAACCTGCCCTTGGTTAGACTGACCTCGGGCAATCACCTGATTCCCCAGGCCTCAGTTTCCCCTCTGAAAGAGCCGGACACTGGCACCCCTCCCGCCAAGGGCTATGGTGGGGGTTGGGGGGTGTGCACAGGCTGGCCTCCCAGAAATGGCCAGTGGGAGTCACGGAGGAGCACTGTGGCCCCGGGGTGGGTCTGCCTGCTCAGCTGGGGTGCCGATGTGGAAGTGGGGGGATGGAGGGGACAAGTATCCCAAGTGCTCCCCACTGGCCTCTGTCACCCCCACGGGGACAGAGGCATCCCCAGGAATGGGCCCGGGAGGGACAATGGAAGCGTCCTGGGCCTCGAGATCCTCCGTGTGGGAGTGGCCATGGGCAGCACAGAGCCTGCTCTGCCCTGCACGGGCGGCTCAGGGGAAGTGCAGGGCGATGTCCGGACGCCTGGGTTCTAGTCTGACTAGACCCCAAGACTGGGGACACATCGCCGGTCCCCGGGGGTCTCAGTTCCTCTGAGCGTCTGACGGGAGGGCTGGGCCAGCGCGTCTCAGAGCCCCGGGGTCCAGGAAGGGCCCCCCCTCCCCCGCCGCCCACTCACCTTGGGATGGATCTTGATGGTGGCGATGTCCGACTTCTTGTCGATGTCTTTGATGGTGGCCTCGTAGGTGTCACCATTCTGCAGCTGCACCTTGAGCTGCTGCCGGCCCGAGACGGTGTTGGTGCTGGACACCACATGTGCGTTGGTGACGATCAAGCCAGCCTCCGACATGATGAAGCCTGAGCCGCTGGACAGGGGCACGTTGCGGCCGAACAGAGGGTGTCTGCGGGGAGGCGAGCGGCGGGCGTTCAGGACTGGGGTGGGGGTCGGCCGCAGCAGTGGGCCGGGGGGAAAGGAGCAGAGCCAGTGCCTGGGCTTGGCGTCCACCAGGCCCAGGGTCGAATCCCAGCTGTGCCACCTCCTGGCTGTGGCCTCGGCCAGGTCATTAAGTCTAGACCCATTTCACAGCCACAAAGAGGGGCCCATGATCTGTGACTCGCCATCTGCGAGGATGAGTCAGGAGGCCCGTGAATGTCAGACCCGTGACGATACAGCAGGCATTTCCTGCCCTGGAGCCAGACAGACCAGGATTCTAACCTCAAGTCCAGCCCCCACATACATCTGCCTGACTGTGTGCAGGAGGCCGACCTCTCTGAGCCTCAGTCTCCCCATCTAGGAAATGGGCTAACAACACCAGCTCCACTGAGCCGGGGGCCTGCAGGCAGTTGGTCAACAAGCAGGGCTGCTCCTGGCATACGGAAGATGCAGGATGTGCACCGGGCCTCCGTGGACTGTCACACAGCAGGTCCCCAGGTAATGTCAGTGTCCCAGATCTCTGGCTGCACAGAGAGACGGTCTAAACACTGAGGGGAGCGTGCTCCCACCTCCCTCTGGCGCCTCCCCACTGCTGCCTACCCTGAAGCCCCAGATGGCGTGAGAAGCAGAGCTGGCGAGGCTCCGTTCCGTGACTTCCACACCACGTGCCTACAGAGGGAGCCCTGGACGTGGCAGGGCAGGGACACCAGCCTTAGCATCTGCCTCCGTAAAATGGGATGGAACAGGTGATGCAGCTGGCATGGGGCCCGTGTCAGTATTCTCTGGTGGGGGATAGCACCCCGCCACGGCTGGAGCCCTCTGAGTAGCAACCTCAGCTCCCAGGATGCCCGACACAGCTTGGGACCTACCCCGGGAGGGGGGGGTCGGTCGCCTCTGGGGCCCCAATGCAGGGCCTGGATGGAGCAGATCATCGGTGCCTGAGGCTGCTTGGCAGAGACAACGCGAGGGAAGGAGCAGGGATGGCAGGGAAGTCTCCGGGGAGTGGGTCTCTAGGAGGTGCAGAAACACCACCTCAGCGTCAGCGGGACCAGGGACAGCTAATGTCACCAAGAGCTCCCTCTGAGCCAGGGACCAAGTCATTTTGCGCTCACAGCCGCCCTACAAGGTAGGCAGGCCTCCAGTTCGCAGGTGGGGAAACGGGACCAGTGACATGAACCAGCTGCCCGGGTCAGGCAGGAAAAGGGCACAGCAGAGGTCTGAACCAGGCAGCCTGGTCCCTTGGCCCCTCTGCAGGGTAACCAGAGCAACTGTCCACTCATGCCAGCAACCAGCTTCTGCCCCCGCCTAGTTCCATGTGGGTCCCTGAGTGGCAGCCGCACCCGAGCCCCGCGGGGCTGCCACGTGTAGGATTTGTCGAGTGTCTGCAGAAGGGCCCCAGGCAGCCCAGGGCCTCCTCTCCGGCTCCAGGGTCACAGCCAGAGGTGCCTGTGCTGGAGGATCATTTTCTGGTGTCTGGGATCTCGCCCGCCTTGGCCTCACCACGCAGACATCAGCCTCCAAGGCTGATGTGGAAATGGCATCACCGCCTGCCCTGCTGGTTTGGGGGTCTGATGCCTGGGGCTTTCTGGAAAGACGCTGCCCCCTCCAAGCCACCTGCAAGGCCAGGGACGTGCCACTCACATGTCCAGTTGTCATTTCCTTAATGACACGTCTCAGGGTCTGGGGCCCGTGGAAAGGACAGTGAGGGGTCAGCGTATCGCAGGCGGATGGGCTCAGCTCTGAGGTTCAAGAGACTTGGGGCAGCTCTGCAGCTCCGAGCCTGGGGCAGTTCGCCGGGCCTCTGTTTCCACATCCAGAAAATGGGAATGCGGGAGCCCACCTTACGGATTCATGGGAAGGTGCATAGGCTGTCAGTCAGTGCTAAGGGACAGGTTGCCTGGTCTCTGCCTCTCCTTTAGGAGGCGGGCACACAGCAGGGCTGTTTGGAGCAGCATAGGAACTGTAGGAAAGGCAGCCCGCGCGGCGATGGGCACACAGCAGGCGTCTGAGGACATTGCTGAGCTCACAGCATTAGTCTCCCCTGCCCCGCCCCGCATGGAGCATTCAGTGGTGAGCACGGTCCCTGCCCTCCAGAGATGGGGGGCAGTCCCGCCCAGTGACAAGGGCTCCCACTACTCAAGCTCCACGGCCGGTGAGCAGGGGGCCCTGTGCTGGGGCCAGGAGTCAGGGCATGAGCAATTCTGCCCACTCCTGGGAACCCCCAGGGCCACCTGGTCCTCTGTGCCTCAGGTGGGCATAATGACACTGGCCGGCCTCCACCACTTGGGGAGAGTGCTGTGAATCAAGCAAGGCCCTGGGGTCGTGGTCGAGGCCTCAGTGACCGTCCCCTCGGGCAGCGTGGCACACGGGGTCCTGGCTGCCTCCGATCCCAACAGGATGGAGTGGGGTTCTGACCCTGTGTGTCTCATCTGGGCTGCCACTGGCCAAAAGGTTAGGAAACTCGATGGAAGAAACACTTTAAATTTGACAAAAGTCATGCTCTTTGTCATGCTCTTCTCTTTGGGGGGCTATAAGTCAATTTAGGGCTAGAGCCCAGGATTCCACAGGAGCCAGCGGTTTGCAGTGTCCCTGTGACACCTGAGCAACCCCCGACCTCGCACCTGCTCGTTCCACAGCCCGGTCACCTGAGAGGTGCTTCCTGTCTCCTCAGGTGAGGAGGTCAGGGTCAGGGAGGGGGCACCCCCGCCGGGGCAACAGCAGCCCGGCAGTCTGAGCGAGGCCCGCCGGACCCCACACCCACTCTGGTGCCTACTGCCCCCCAAGGCTAGAATTGAGTCTGCTTTGGGCCCAGCGGATGCGGGGGAGACCTTGGAGGGGCGAGGGGGGCCGCACGTACCTCAGGAAGAGTTCTATGTGGACCACGGCCGGCGCCGTCTTTTCCACCACGTCAGCAATGAAGTTGAATTTATACCGCGGGCTGGTCAGCTGGTGGAGACCTGCACTGGCAGGAAGAACCAGGTGCTTTAGCGAGGCCCAGACATCTGGGAATGGGGGTTCACTTGCCCCAAGGATGGTTAATGCTGAGCTACCCCACATCGCCAGGCCGGCCAGGAGGCTCAGAGAGGTCAGAACACTTGCCCTGGGCCACACAGCACTGACGTGACACTCAGGCTGGATCTGGGCTAGTCCCCCTGGGCCGTTGCCCTTTCTCTCAGATACAGCAACGTCCGGGCGTGAGGAAATCGACCCTTCCCTTTGCCAGCTCTGGCCTGTCCCTCCAGGCCTTGGGCTACTGCAGTGGCTGGACAAGGTTACAGCAGAAGCCCCTGGGTGGTCCCTTCTGAACTGCCCGCTCCTGGCCATGGTGTGGCCCCCATCTGGGCCAGGTCAGCTGCCGCAGTCTGAGTCGCCAGGGCCGCCCCCCACACACCCTGACCCTGATCTGTGTCTAACTTAGCCAGGCCCCAGGCTGGCTTGCCAGGCAGCTCACGACCTTCCCTGGAACATTCGCCGGCTCAGATTTCCGCTGCAGTCAGCAGTGGAGCTGCTGCTCGCCAGGACCACAGGCCTGAGACGTGTGGGTGGCACAAGGCCCACACCCCTTTGGTCTCCCTGTTCGGGCACGTGCTGGGGTCTCCCAGGTCCCCGCCAGAGACCGGCGCTGTCTGGAACCCACGCTGCCCAGCCCTGCTTGTAAGGGCTCCCAGGGCCTGAAATGAGTACTGGGCTGAGCACCACTGAGCTCCAGCTGTGTGGCTTTAGGCAAATCACTTACCCTCTCTGGGCCTCGACACCTCACCTGAAATGTGAGACCAAAGGTGCCTCTCCACCCCCATCCCCCAGGGAGCTGTGGGAATAGGCTGTGACTTGCCAAGTGTAATGCTCCCTGCCTCGGTAGGGGTGGGAGGGGAAGGGGGGAGCCCGCCACCCACCCTGCTCCCTGATGTTGGCGAACAAAGAGGGCTCAGCCCGTAAGGTCTAGCTTCGCAGCTGATGTCTCTTGATGGTCTCTGGGAAGTGACCGAACATCAGGATCTAGAGAAAATCTGGTTTTCCTGGTTCTCCAAAGGGACGGGAGGGAGCAGGCTGGGTGCAGCACAGGCGCAGGGTGCAAGGCCACAGTCGGTGCCTCATAAACATCGTGGACAGATGCGGTCCCCATCCACAGCCCGACTCATCTCCCCAGCTGTGCAGGGGGGCAGCCCGGGCAGGGGTCATCAGCTCCATCCTAAAGGTGGGGAAACTTGAGGCTCAGCTCGAGAACCAGGCTCTTGACAGGGGCTGCAGGGCTCCCTTCCTTAGGGCCCTCCCCTCCCCCCCGTGGCCCCCCCAAGGCCCTGACTGTGAATTAAGCCTGAGCTGGGACTCGGGGCCCAGAGGAGAGCTTGCCTTGGGCTCCTCTGTCCGGGGAGGTGAGCAGGGCCCACCCCACGGATCCTGTGATGTCTGCCTCTCAACCAGCCTGTGGGCGCCGGTCACGGCGGGCCCAGCCCCCTGCGGTCAGCCTGAATCAAAGGCCGCCTATCCGGGGTGGCTGGAGACTGGCTGGGAGACGTGGCCCACTGCCGGCCACCTCGTGGCTCCCTGATGATCAAACTGCAGCCACCAGGGACCACCGTGCTCAGAGCCCTCCTCCCAGAGGCAAAGCCCAGTGGAGGGATGGCGTCTAAGATTCAGAGGTTGTGTCTGTGGGCAAGGCCCATGCCGGGCCACGGCTCTGCCTCCCCCAGCACACGTGGGTGCCAGGCATGTTTATTTCCACGTGGATAGCCAACAGTCCCTGAAACTCTGGAGGAGGAGCTACCCATCAGCTAGCCCGCGGGGCCCGAGCCTAGCTCTGCCTGCCAATCCCAAGGGCACTGGGAACCTGCATTCATACTCTATCTAAAAGGCACAGGGAAGTGAAGCCAGCCACCAACCTTGTTGCCCCTTCCAGGTTCTGCTCTCTGACAAGGAAGCTCCCCTGCCAGTCAATCCCCACATCACCAAGGTCCCGGAGGACCCCAGGCAGTGGGGAGGACTCAGCACCAGGCCTGGATTTACTCCGGCCAAGGCTCGTGCCCACCATGCCATGCTGGAACAGGCAAGCCCAGGTGGGTGAGGCCAGGTGTCACCCCTCCCTGCTCTGTAAGCCGTGGGGGCCACTTACCCCCAGTCTCTGCTCCATCATCCACCATTCCCACGTGGCCCGCTCCCCAGTTTTCCCTACCACGATGTGCTGGCCTGTCCTGGGTGCAGCTCAAGTCTCGCCTCCTCCAGGCAGTCTGCCTTCTTCCAGCCCTCCTTGGGGCTCCCAGCATAATGTCTCACCCACCACACTCGCTCTCATAGGGATGCTGAGTGCCTTCCGTGTGTGTGCTCAGTGCTGGGGACAGGACAGTGACCAGCCAGGCACAGCACTGTGTCACCAGTGACAGGACAAGGGGAGGCCCAGGGTGAGATGGGGGAGTCCAGTGGCACCCCTAATCCAGGCCTGGAAAAGCACACTGGGAGAGGAACTGAGATGCAAAGACACAGCATCACGCACGAGGGCAGCTATGGGTGGATTCGGCCAACTCCAAGCTGGGCCCAGTGTGAATAAGACAGGAGGGGTGAAAACATCTGATCAGGAGAGGCTGCGTTGCCACGTGACTCCATCCCAGTTCTCAGTGACTCCAAAGCTTTAGGCGCGTCTGTCCAGCCCCTGGCTGACCCAGTGGAGGTCCCGCAGGCTGAGCGCCCCGAGCTGCCCAAGCAGCCGAGGAGCTGACCTGGCCACCCGCAGATCTGGACGGCACGGCGGCCTCCCACCAGATGCTTTTCTTTCCAATGTGGCCTCTCCAGAGATCACTTAAAATAAGCGACACTCAATTTCATGTGACGATTTAAAAACGAAAACCCTCTGTAAAATATTCACAGGCCAAAGGCTGGCGGGAAACACATCAGACTATTTCACGGTGGATATTCGGGGGCAGAGGTAAAGTTATGAGTGATTTTGTTTTCTTTTGTGGATTTTGCAAATGTTCTCCCGTAAGCAAGTTAGATATAGAAAGAAACAGAGGGAGAGAGGAAAGCCTGGACGGGCTGTGAGCTGGGCTGGGGTGTGAGACAGCGAGAGGCCGGGCTGTGTTTCCCACCATCCCCGGCAGGGCCCTGGTGACTGGCGGGCTGTGGAAGCTCCAAGGAGAAGCCGGGCTGGGCTCACCTCCCACCCGGGCGCCAGCTCCTCTGGGACACACACATGTCCGGATCCCCCGACAGCCCAGCTGTAACCAGCATATGTGAACCCCCAAGGCAGCCCTTGAGAGGGGGTACGGGAGGGAGGGCCTAACCCTAACCCTAACCCAAGGACGAGGATGCTCTGCTTGACCCCATCCGGCCCAGCGCACAGTAGGTCTGCAAACACCACCACAAAGAACATTGTTCAGCCTGTTAACCAGGTTTTGCGGGGAGCAGCCTCACAAGAGCAGCGCCAGTGTGTCCCAGGAAACAGGCCAGAGACAAAGATGGTTTAGGGTGGAGACAGGCCTGGAGCTAGCCCCAGGTCCCATGGACTTCAGAGCCCGCGCCTCCGGGGTCAGCCGGTGGGTGACACAGGCCCTGCCAGGCCCTGTCCCTTTAAGCTGGTGAGGTGGGTGGTGGGGAGGAGGTGGGAGGTGGGCAGGGCCTGCTCCCTGGTCCTCTTCCCCACACACAGATGAATCATCCCATGAATCAGTGGGAAGGGAAGACGTGGTTCCCACTGCCTCTTTCCACATGAAAACCTTGGGCCCCACGGCTGGGAGGCAGACGCTGCTTATTTGGGGGTTTTGACAGCCCCCATCCCCGCCCTCACGCTGTCCTGGAGCCAAAGTTCTGAAGTCAACAGTCAGTCTTGACCAGATTCAGCTGTTAGCATTTTTGTTTGTTTGTTTTCAAAAATAAGCTGCAATCCACAGGCTTTGGAAGTTCTAGTCGGGAAGAACTTGACACACAGCAAAGCAAACAAGGCCAGGTGTCCAGCGCTGGCGCCCTCCCGCAGGAGGAAGGGGCACAGCCAGGGCGGAAGGGGACCCAGAGAAGGACTGGCAGGGGAGCAGGCGGGGCCCGGGGCCCCACCTCCCACATTTCTGCATGTCAGGGCTTCCGGCACAGCGGCAGACCCTGAAAAGAGGACCTATGATGTGCCAGCTCTGGACAGTCACAACTGCCATGGCATGGATGGGGCAATCGAGGCCCAGGGTGGGACAGTGACTGGCCCAGACACCCCACAGGGCCACTGACACTGCTGCACGGGTTGTGTACTGCACAACTCCAGGACCATTCTTAACAAACATCACAGCGTGACCACCTCCCTTGGAATTGTGCAGGGCGCAACCTGCACAACCGTATGCATTACCCGTCCAGCACACAATGGGCAGAGCCAGGACTGAGACCCAGTTCTTTCCTCTAACTCTGAGGTCACTGCCCCTTCTTCTATTGCCTCCTGCAATCAGAAGACACCGCCCCCCCCCCATCACCCAGTAGTTAGGTAAGAGCTGGGAATGGAGGGGCCATCCGCAGGTGCCCACAAGGTCCCAGGCTGCGCCCATCTATCCATAACGCTGACTACAGCCTGCAGGCCAGATGGCAACCTCTCAGCAGGGCTCACGGACCTGGGTGTCCAGGTCCCATTTACATCTGCAGCCTAGCTACTGCCGCACGCCCCCGACCCGGTACCCTTGGCTCTGGTTCCCCAAGCATGCGTGCTCTGAAGTGCCCCCCCAAACCTTTGTAATCAGTCCCTCCCTCACCACCGCCAGGCCCAGGCCAACACACCTCCCCCTGGGGAGCCTGCCCCCGACTCAGTGGGCTCAGGGACCGAGCTCACTCGTCTGGGGCCCAAGGCACCTGGTGACCCCTCTCAGACCTGTCCTTCGAGACTGTCCCCGTGGGCTGGGCGCCCCTGACCCACAGTGGTGAGCGGAGAGCAGCAGGGGAGCAGGGGAATTGCCTCTCCCCCACAGCCTCTCGCCCTCACCCCAGGCCCCACCCACCA